AATAAACTTGACTTTTGAACCACAGAACTGCTACTTGGTTCTCAGAAAACAGCAAGGCAACAGAGTTGCTTCGTTTAGCATTCGATGTTACAGAAGACTAATCGTTTGACAGGCCAAACACACCATTGGAAGTGTCGATATACAACCGGAGGTTAGGTGAACATACGCACTCAGACCCTGTGTCACCCATCGGCACTTCGAGTTCCCTATGTTGATTTAGGCGCTTGATGTATACGTGATGATAAAGCTTGTGCAAGACAGTGCAGAGTAAATTCCGACATGAAAAGACGGTGAGACGTGTCGAAGTGAACGACGTTTAACGGCGAGTTTGCGGCAGTACACGCTGGACTAGCGGACGAGCTTATTTGTGTTGACAATAAAAACAATCACGAACAAGGAGAACCGATGTTTTCGTGATGTTCAAAAAAGCAGCAGAGGTGCATGCAATGGTTAGTCTCCTTGGTCTGCTTACACAGCTTTCACAAAGCTCACTGTGTTCTCGGTGCAAGTGAAAACCTTCTGTTAGCTCCACACCAAGCAACTTTAGTATCCACCGACGGAAGAGCAGAAAATCAAAAGAACAATCAACAGACCGACCAACGAAAGAAGGTTACAGGTTTAAAAGGGTATATTTGTGCAAAAATGGAGTTCAGTCCACAAAAATCACATTTTTTTCGAGAACGCTATCTTGGTATATACCAGCAGGTGGTTAGTTGACTCGTCGGCGCTTGCCTCTGAAGCCACCCTAAAAGGACAAAAAGAAGTAGTTAAACATGTACAACAGAGCAGTGCATTGGAAAATAGAACGTCGTTTCTTTGAACATGCAAGGGGTGGCGCTTTAAAGCCAATTACAATTATTATCCAACTTACACCCTGCTTGCCCCTTCCTCCAGCTTTGCGTTTTCGGGCGTTCAATGTTTCAATAAGTGTGACCCAGAATTCTTTTTCTTCGTCGCCTGTAAAAGAAGGATTTGTTGTTTTTTAGTTTCCAATTCAAAAGACACGGTAAGCACTGGTACTGCCTAAGTTTTATGATCGACAGCACTGATTAAAATATTTTTACACAAAATAAAATAGGTTTAAAACACCATAAAGGTATAATTAAATTGACGTGTTACGATGGAAGGTTTGTCAATTGCTGGAATTGAGACCCCAGTGGTCGAGATGTCGGTGACGACGTCACAGGCCACTAAGCAGTAGCTAATTAGCCACCTATCACAAACATTAATCTTTTGTAAATTTCAAAATTGTGCACAAATCGCAGAAAACACAAGTTGTGACTATGCATTTGGAATTTAGAAGAAAATTATGAGGACTAGCCTACCAGAAATGACACGTCCTGTGAGGTGGCAGTCTTTGTACATAATTTTGCCATCTTCAAAGGCTTTGGTCAGTTTCTCTAGAGCGCTGGCCGCGGTGTTTGGTTCCTTGAAGCGCACGATGGCTTTTCTTTGTTCCGAATCTACATCAACCCACGCGATTGGTACACTGTTTTCGAGCTAAAATTGAGGAATCTATGTACTGACAACGATGGTGATTGGATGAAAAGTCTCTAAGTGAGTGACAGGGAGAAAGTTATACTTAACACTATGGAGACTTAACAAAACGTCTCAAAGTACTGTAGGATTGCATGCAACAATCATACTGAACGCATGCCCACGAAAGTTCTCATTACCTTTGAGTTAAGCCATTCCTTTAAATTGTTAACGGTCTGCACTCCATCGCCGCCATTGGTACCATTCGTGGTTTCTGACTTGGCTTCTACAGACTCTTCGGTTGGAGCCGCGTTGTCCTTTTCATCTTTAGCGGGTTCATCTCCAGCGGAATCTGGTTTTTCTGGAACGGTTTTGGCTGTAAAAGAGCAAATCGAAAATTAGTCCTTCGACAGAATCTCGAAAAATTGCTACAATTTCGACGATAGATGACGAAGTGTATACCTGTTGTGGATGCAGGTAGACCCGCCAGTTCAATGAGAGCACCCGGTGTCATCCTTGAGGCGACTTCAGCGTTGCGACGGTCCTGGGAAGCCGCATTTTTCTTTGCTTTTTCCTCATTTCTTAGTTTCCTTTCCTCGCTCTTCTCTTCCACATAATCTTTGCTATAATGGAAGTGACAGTGTCTATTCAAAAAGAGCAAAAATCGAGGCTTTAGCTACCTAGCCGCGGATCCGGCCCGAAGACAAGACACACTCGCATAACAAAACGTTTTATAATCTTGTGACATCTAACTACTTCTAAAAGTCATTTGGTGACGACTAATTGAATGCAAATACAATAAATGTAACCAAGTTCACACGTACTACCACTTCCTAATGAGTGAATTTCCCTTGTATTCCGCAGATTCGGTTGATTCCAAAAACTTTTTGGCGTCCTCGGCTGTTTTGAAAGTTGCAAATATACTTCCCTAAAGACGTCAACTGAAAACGGCACACTAACCTTGAACTTCTTATTTGGAAACCGTCTACAAAACACATCGTGTGTCGGGCCCGCAACTTCCTCCACCCAGCTTATAATTTCGTCTAGTGTTGCTTCGACGGGAAATCCCTTGGCATAAACTGCTTTGTCGCCGTGAAGAGTGAGGGCCTCGTTAAGACTTTCAGGGGCAGGGTTGGAGGGTACGCGACGTACACCCTCCGGACCAAATTCCAAAAGAGTTGATTCTGAAAGAGCCTTTTTAATTAGCTCAATGTCAGTAGTCAAGGCACTCAGTCGCTTAAATTTAAGCAGGATGTCAAAAGGAAGCCCTGAAAGTATATTGAAATGGAAACAACTTACATCCGCCATTCTCTTGCAGAGTGTTTTTCATGAAGTTATCTTTCGACAAATTTATGTCGCCGAAATAGTACTTTAAATAATATTAATTAAATTTTTCGTATTTTACCTCGACCTGTCTTAAGATTTTAGCTGTCAATTCCGAGTCAGACATTGTTAACAGCGGAGCGTGCTCAATTTCAGACTTGTGTCAACCGCCCTCAAAGTTTGCCTAGTAAAACCGAGTTTGTTCTTTTAATAACAATAACGTATGATTAGACAGGTTCTAGAGTTGATTACCTTTAAGCTGATCTGACTGTTATCTCTTAAATTTAAACTTTGACAAGTGTGTAATTTAAAGGCTCCGTACTAGGGGGACCAGAGAAGAAGCTGATTACCCCCAATAACTCCTCGATGGGGCAGCACTTTTCAAATGTTGACGAACAAAAAGGCTTCGTTGTTCTAATAACCTCCTTGCTTAAACCGTCTCCATAGTGTTTAGAGGCAGCTGAACGCGTGAAACAGGTGTTATTTGCGCTAAGGCGAGGATTTTGTTTTATATCGATAAGGAATTGTTCATGAAAACCTACGGAGTATTCGTTCGGCCCCCCATAGAATATGTCGTCCAAGCCTGGCGTCCGTGGTTTACAAAGGATTATTCGCAATTGGAATGACAACAGGCGAGGGTATTTAGATACTTAAGAGTCTTGGGCATCTGTCTTACGAATTCAGACCGGCTGAACATTGA